TAAGTTACTTTGTTTAAAAAATGCACTACTCAGACAGAAGACCTAAACAAGCAATTCTCCAAGGAAGACATACAAATGATCAATAGGCACATAAAAAAATGCTCAATATCATTAATTATCAGAGAAATGCAGATCAAAACTACAGTGAGGTATCACCTCACACCAGTCAGAATGGCCATCATTCAAAAGTCCACAAATGAAAAATGCTGAAGAGGCTGTGGAGAAAGGGGAGCCCTCCTACACTGCTGGTGGGAATGCAGGTTGGTGTAGCCACTGTGAAAAACAGTATGGAGATTCCTCAAAAGACTAGGAATAGACTTAACAGATGACCTAGGAATCCCGCTCCTGGGCATATATCCAGGAGGAACCCTACTTCAGGATGACACCTGCACCCCAGTGTTCATAGCAGCACTATTTACAATAGCCAAGACATGGAAACAGCCTAAATGACCATCAACAGGTGACTGGATAAAGAAGTGGTGTATTTATACAATGGAATACTACTCAGCCATAAAAACCGACAACATAACATCATTTGCAGCAACATGGATGCTCCTGGAGAATGTCATTCTAAGTGAAGTAAGCCAGAAAGAGAAAGAAAAATACCATATGAGATTGCTCATATGTGGAATCTAAAAACAAACAAAGAAACAAAGCATAAATACAAAACAGAAATAGACTCACAGACATAGAATACAAACTTGTGGTTGCCAAGGGGGCAGGGAGTGGGAAGAGATAGACTGGGATTTAAAAATTGTAGAATAGATAAACAAGATTATCCTGTATAGCACAGGGAAATATATACAAGATCTTATGGTAGCTCACAGAGAAAAACGTGACAATGAATATATGTATGTTCGTGTATAACTGAAAAAGTGTGCTCTACATGGGAATTTGACACAACATTGTAAAATGATTGTAAATCAGTAAAAAATGTTAAAAAAATAATTTTGTGACATTCCAAAAAAAATACAGTACCCAGAGAAGTAGAAAATATTTATTTTCAGCATACGTGTCATTTTACATCTGTCAGTCATCCTTCGTCTTTTAGGGGAAGTTGGTGGAAAAGCCACAGCTGCCAAAGGCAGGTAAAAAGCAAAGGCCAAGTGAAAATTAAGAGTCTAAGGCATCTTTGGGAGAAAGAGTCTGAGTAGTAAGAATCAGAAATAGCCAAGATGAGGGAAGCCCAGCTGAGATAAAATTCTAGCAATTAGACACTCAGGAGATGTTTGGCAAATGATTCTGGAGGAAAGGCCGTAAGATTTAGCAACCAAGGGGTTAGGTTATCAGTGTTTTCTAAGAGTGTAATTTTGCTGTGAGAGTGCAGTATACCGTGCTGAAGTAACCCCAGCTGGTGTTGGGTGAGTTCAGTGGGAGGGTTTCTGGTGTCACTTACTTCTCTGTGTCCTTATAGGAGCGAGTCACTTAATGTCTCAGCCTCAAGCTCCTTATCAGAGAGGCAGGAGATAACCCCTTAGAATATCAGCTGACATGCAGTGTATTGGAAATGCTTTGTAAACGCCGTGGGAGCCTTGTGTAAACGTCACGGGGGACGGTAAGGTAGACGCTAGGTGATGGGTGTTTAGGGAAAGAATGGTTTCCTGGGGAAGAGGCCCTGAACGCAGATTGCGGAGGTATTTGGGAATGGAAAGAAAAAAGGGTGATAGTTTGTGGGGGGTGGATAGAAAAATTGAGAGAAGTGGAGAACACTGGTCAGGAGATAGTTAACAGTCATTCCGTCT